AACGCGATCCAAAAGTCAAGCCTGATTCCTTCCTGCGAATTTCTTCGCTGACCACCAAATTTCTGACTTCATCGAATTTCAACTTCTCCTTCCCTGTTGAAGCGCTGACTACAGTCACCATTTCGTTCCAGCTTTCTGGGAGAGAAGACATCAGAATTAGGGCATGAATCTCGTCGTCGAATTTGATCTCAACCGTGCTCAACTATGTGGTGATTAAATTGAACTCGTTGAGATGCTCCACAACTCATCATGTGAACCTTGTTCGCAGCGGACGGTTTTTCGTACATATCCGATAATATCTTGCAACATCTCCTTCGTCGTTTTTGCTTTGACGGTGTGTAGGGCGATGTTTCTGGACAGCGATAATCGAACCACGCTCATCGCTTTTCTGTCCAGAAACTTCCAATCGCTCTCCTTCATGTCTTCCGGCTTATCATCCAGAGGTTGATACAGATCTTTACCGTACAGGTAATCTTCGATCTGCAACTTCCAGAATCCGTAATTCGTTCCGTCAAACTGCATCACTGGTGTCTTCAAATTGTCTGCCATCGTGAGATCTCCCTTCGAACCTAGGGCTCTGATGCCAATTGTTAAGAATTAATTTACGCAACACGAAGAAAAATTAAAGAACACACACGAAAATTTGATAACCCAGTTCGCCACGAATGACTACGTCTTGGGGCACTACCAAGCCAGTAATATTATTGCTATTTTCGGATCCACACATGATTGCAAGGGATAGAGCTTGTATTTATAGAGAAGTAAATCTAACCCCAAGGTAACTAGGATGCGTTTCCAAAATAAATTAAGAAATGTGTTTCCAAAAATGAATTAAGAAAAACTTGGTTATACAGTCTCAAACACTTTACATAATATTCAAGCTAGCATGATTGAATTCTTCGCATTGTGATTAGAGGGGAGGAGCAAGTGAAACGAGCATTCATGATCCCTGCATTTATGACAACGTAAAGGCATACTTAACGAAGCCAGATGTACACAAAGCTTTGCATGTCGCTCCTTTGCCATTTCATTGGGATACAGAATGCACGGGGTACGTACTATACGTGTATGTATGTATATATAAATAAATATATATATATATATATATATATAATATATATATATATATATATATATATATATATATATATATATATATATAGGGTTGGGTTCTAATGAGAATACCTCTTAACGTGAGAACGTGAGAACAAATCTTAACCATAGATCTTAGTAAATTAATGGTTAAAAATGGAGTAGATCTACAGATATACCATGGAGGTGCAAACACTTAAAAAAACCATGCTCTCTCTTTCTAATTAAACGTAGGTTAGATGGACATGATAGTCATTTTAAAAAAATCACACGATTGAGGGGTTGTCATTTCCCTAAAAATTAGGTAATAATAAATCTCAAATCATATAAATTTCTTTAGTTTATAAATTGATTTAACTTCTTAAATAATAATCCAATTTTAACAAAAAATAAAACCAAATTAAATAACTTTTTATGCTCTTTCATATGACATCAATATGTCATATATAATTTTTAAAAATAAAATATGTATAAGATGCATACAATAAAGAACAACAAACATTTCTATCTACCTGATGCACAAGAACATGTATCTAACACACAATCACCGATATCTAATGCATATGAGATGACCCCGTACTCAAAAAGAAAGTGAAGCTTGTTGGATGTAATATATACAAACCGATATCTAATGCACAATAAAATTATGCAAATTCTAGAGATTGTGTAGTTCAATAACATAGTAGTGGGAGCTTGTTTATATTGAATAACATACTCCGTATTTGAGTTTACAAAGCGTAGGTGTGCACTACTGCAGTGGATTTGTGCGGTAATATGCAAATGAATTAAGTGTATAGGCGTATAAAGTTATGTGCACTAGTGTGATGGTTTAGTGCATGGGGCGGAATTATTTGTGGATAAAGTTATGCGCACTAGTATGATGTTTTAGTGCATGAGGTGAAATTATTTGTGATAAAGTTATGTGTACTAGTATGATGTTTTAGTGTATGGGATGAAATTATTTGTGATAACTAATAAATAAGTATAACAATTAAAATCTAAAACTAAAATACTGGTTTTACAAACAATAACCAATATTTAAAACACATGAATAAACCATCTTACTATTAGCTAGGATATAACACACTACAATTAATATCTGATGCAAAATAAGTGAATAGAAAAGAAATTACATTTTAATGGAGAAGAACATGACATAACAACAAATTGAATAAAAAGGAACAACATTTCCAAATAAACATGCAAAAAGTTCTCTAAAAGGAAATCTTAATTCCGTGAGTATGTTCTTTGATTTTAAAAAATGCAAAAAGTTTCTAATGGTGTTCCGTATTATATGGAATTTAATGCTTCCAATGATTAAAAAGTCAACTTCGGATGAATGTATTAACTTCATTTAATCAGTTACCAAAACCGCTTAGCAATAAAATACGTAAATAACCTTCACCTA